AAGACTGTCAGGTGTAGAATATCTGAGATGAAATGGCCTGCTCCTTTCCAAAAAGAAATTAATAGTCTATGTCAAAGCTGAAAACTGAACTATACAACAGTTAACCTGTTAAGCCCGAGAGACCCCGGTACCGGGGCACTGCCGCAACATCTTGCAGGAAACAGTGTCTGAGGGCATGTTCATTTAATAAACTATGAATGTTTTATATCCATGTAACGGGAAGAAACTCATCTAACTGATCATTTTTTTTTTTTTTCAAAAGAAAACCCACAATGCTAACACTGAGCCTCTGAATTAGCAACGAGCGAAAAATGCTAACACCTTACTGCACCGAAAATCACTCAAAAAACCTTATTATTTATCTCTTCTCTACATCCATGACATTGTTTCACACCGTGAGGTGACACAGAATCGATGGGTACCCACATTATCACTGAATTATATGAATTTGCGACGTTATAAGCAAAAACGGACATCAAAACAGGTGACGCTAGGTAGCTAAAAATGCTAACATTTTTACCTTGGCTCTGTAGTCTCTCCAAAGTGGTCTTCAATGGCATTAAAACGATAAAAACGCTGCTGAAGTTAATCCATAGGTTAATCCAATGTGTCTGTGTCCCTTTGATATGATTTCTGATAATCCATAAGCATTAAAACTGCTTTTCCGTTTCCAGATGTCAAAGCTAGAGATAGGTTCACTCTGATGCAAAATTACATGTGCGAAGCCCCCACCTTTTCATTTCACAATGAGTGTGTGTGGGGGACTCCCCCTTCGATTCTATTGGCTCTAACGGTCAGAAAGAGGTATCAACCATCAAAATCGAGCAAGGGGGGCCAGAGATATGGAAAATCCACCCAAATGACCCCAGAAGTGGTTTCTTTTTGCTAAATCTCTCTAAAAAGGTCAAATGTCACTTGTTTTGCATCAATCTTGATACAGGGTACTTATTATATGTTGTGTACTTTGGATTCCTAAAGCTTTTAGTCTACCTTACCATCATACAAGGGTAGCTTTCACTATAAGTAAAAAGAATTTTTGGACGGACACTATAATTTACAGTTCTTTACTATGTAAAATCTGAATTTTCTTTAAAATAAAAAACACACTATATTGATTCTGACTTTTCTACATCCAACTCACAGGTTTATCATTACTTTGAGAAAAAAGATTATTAATTTAACCCTTTTAGAAGGGAAGATATGGTCATTTGTTCTGGGAATGTCATTTTCGAGCCTGAGACCTGAAAAACAGGCTCAGGGCTTAACAGGTTAAAAGGCATGAGGGGATTTGGATAGTTTCACAAGAATGATTAATCTGACTTTTGTCTTTTATGTCTGCTCTTCTCTATCAGTATCCCAGACCTACAGGATGGAGACGAGGCTCCCTGTATCCCGGTGTGTGCCCGCAGCCTGTTGCCTCACTGCCACTTTGACCTTGAGGACTCAGACTATATCAGCGAGAAACGACAGAACCCTGAATTCAGGGGACCTCTGGACCCCAACATCAGGGTCATCGAGTTCAACTCTGTTGGTTTCTCTGCGCCATCGAAGAGGTGAGAGAAAGAGAGATGAAAGCATCAATGTAGGCCTAAAGGGGCTCTATTATGATTGATCAGGTTTTACCTTTCCTCTAGTGTGTTATATAGTTTTTGTTCATGTAAATGGTCTGCAAAGGCTAATATCCCAATGTTCCCTCCAGAGAGAATTTCTCTCCCACACACTCCCCCCCCCTGCCGGAAACACCTCCATTGGACTCCTTTGTTTACTTCCGTGACATAGTGACATCACTATGTAACACTTGAGCTTCTATAAGCTAGCGCTCCAACACATTGTACGTGATAGGCTAATGGGGGGGGGGGGGACATCTGTAAGCGGTTCACCAATCACAACAGAGTCGACAGCTAACCAATCAGAGCAGACTGGGCTCTGTTTTCAGGCAGAGGGTGAAAAGAGGTGCTGCAGCACAGGCAGTATGATACATGTGTCCCTCTCTCTACCAGATGTTTTGGTGTGATGAACCCAACCAGTAAGCCCTACTCATTCAAGTGGCGGTGTGAAGACAAAGGTGGCAGTCCGTTCTGCTGCCTCACCCCGAGTGGTACCATCTTGCCTGGGAAGAAAGTGGAAGTAAGTATGGCAACACGCACAGTGAAATAGCCTTAGGGCCTGTGTCACCATAGCGTGTTTCTTTGGATAAGAGGCACTGGGCAGAGCCTCCAGAGCCCTTTTTATATTGTTTCTATGTCAACGATATCTAAACAGTGTTTCCCTGCTAGCACAACTAGCATCACCTTCTTGGATTTTACTTTCTGTTTGTGCTACTATATATTGTTACCAATTGAAACATTATTTTTATGAACCAGCTTGTCAACGCTCTGACAGCAACAATCATTGGCAGCAACATCCAGGGATCCTCTGGCCAATCTTTAAAAGAAATAGGATTGTTGGTCTTTGTTTTTGTCCAATATATCTTAGTTCCAGCGTTGTTGAAAGGGGGAGACAGAGTGGATGACATTGCTTAATAATTCAGCTGGTGGGAGTCGAACCCATGCACTTGGCAGCGACAACTGCTTCCACATACAGTATATGGGCCACAGATCTAACCAGCTTTATGGTGGCCCCTTTCAGTCTTTGCTATGATAGTTTCCGTCTGTAAAAAATGGCCAAAAACAGGCTTCTCCTCCAATTCGTACTTAAACGTCACCAGTGGTTTTCTGAAAAAGGAATATCTTTAACTACAAACGCTCCGAGCGGCTGCTTAAAATCATTGATGCACTCAGAAAAAAAGATGCTTAGGTGCAGCGCTTTTTCTCGAGGGAGCCACATTAAAAACAATGGCAAAAAGACGCTAGTGTTTACTAGTTGCTTCCTCCAACTACCATCTAATTAACCTTGGCCTATCCTTCATATTAATATACACATCAGTCATTCTTAATCTCTCCCCTCATTTTACATCTAATGATCGTTTCAGTGTTCCTGTCTCACTTTATCAAAACAAGTCTAATCCTTTCTCATTTCTTCCATTTAATCTAATACCATTTTAATTGTTCCTCATCAATTTCCAGCTCTACTCATCTGATCCAATCTGTTCTAGTTGTTCATCACTCTGTGCTTCCTTCCTTCACTCTACTTAATTCCTCTCAACATTTTGTCTTTCTTCTATATATTTCTCTGTGAATTGTTTGTTGCTATATGTAATCCTCTGATGTGTGTGTGCAGGTGTGTTTTGAATATGTAGCTGAGCAGATGGAGGCGGTGGAGTCATTCTGGAGTTTTGTGATTGAGACTCTGTCCCTGTGTGTCCCCTTCCTGTGTGTGGGCACCACTAAAGAACCACTCGTCTATCTCCACAGACCTCACCTCGACTTTGGAGAACTGCTTGTTGGTATGTGACATACACATACACAGCCTTGCATGCATTTATACAGTGACATCACAACAAGTCACACCACATATTCAACTCAGAGCAATGGTTTATTTGAGTCCTTTCCTAAGTACTTCTGTAACACGGTTAAAGGACATGCATTTCGGTGAATAAGTGCCTACATATTGTGTGTAATACGCATACAAACGCTGTATGTTTTCCATACGCTCAAGCATAATTATGGCATGGTTGAGTTTGGGCAATTAAAACCACTTTGTAAGGGTTAAGTAAAGGCTACAGTCATGCTGATGTATGTTTAATAATATTTGTATATAGTTTATCATTAATATTTCATTTACTTTGTCTCTAATATTAGTTGTTTATTTTGTAGTGTTCTAATTGTTAATTATTTGTTATGTTATATTTCCTCAGTTAATTGTTTATCTTTTCGTCTTTTCTTTTGTTTTGTTTTGTACAATAAGTTAACTTCTTTATTTTTTTATTTTGCATTACATTTCTAACAAAGCTGTTATGTTGTAAATGAAAATGTAAGAAATATGAACGCTTATTTCCATTATAAATCTCACCCCCTACTGGGTGTGAAAATGTGTCCCTGAAACCAACATTTTTTAACCCTCAGTTGGCCCAAATACTATTAAAACCATCCTTAAAGCAGGTGAAATTGAATTGTTGCCGAATTACTCAGTGTGTGTGTGTGTGTGTGTGTGTGTGTGTGTGTGTGTGTGTGTGTGTGGGGTGTTGTGTGTGTGTGTGGGTGTGTGTGTGTGTGTGGTGGTGTGTTGTGTGTGTGTGGTGTGTGTGTTGTGTGTGTGTGTGTGTGTGTGTGTGGTGTGTGTGTGTGTGTGTGTTCACAGGTCACAATGTGGAACTGACAGTGGATCTGGTGAACGGAGAGGATGAGCTCTTCCACTTCTCTGCCCTGCAGTCGTCTCTCCTCTGTGAGGATCAGCAGTCCAGACTCAGTGTGCAGCCCATGAGGGGCACCGTGCCACCCAAACACAGGTACATTACACTATAACATGCTTGAAATACAATGAAATGCTATATATTCATAAAATAATTATGAATATACAAATATATATACAAAAATAAATAGTTGTGTCAATTGATTAAAAAAAATGTAATAGTATAAATCACAATAATACTCTGTGATTAATCATAATCAATCACTAGTTTTAAATACTTTTATTTTTTTGTATTTATATATCTTTTCATTTTTGGGTTTAAAAATCTGTATTCATCACTCACTTGTGCATGATGTGATAAGAATTTCAAATATGATAGCTTTGTGAGGAGGTCACATGTTGCTTCACTACTAATTAAATGTGTGTTAACTGTTGTGACCTCTGTGGTTGCAGGTTGCCACTGTCGTGTCCTTCACGCCGTGCGGGAGGGCCGTGGCTTCAGATTGGCTTGAAGGTGAAGAGGAAGTCAGAGCCGCTCACACTCACAGTGAAGGCGGATTGTTTCAGCATAAGCACTTCTGTTCAAGTGGTGCAGCCCGAAGGAGGACTCAGAGAGATCATCCCTAACCAAGAAGACACTCTGGACTTTGGAAAGGTCAGCAGACTTTTTCACATCACAAGAGCGATCACATGTTTGAAGTTGACATATCAAGCAATTTAGCAACTTGTACGCTATTTATCCTGTAGGTGGGGATTTCAGAGCAGCCACCTTTAACTTCCTGGTGTCCAATCTGGCAAGATTGAACCTGGACGTGAGCTTGACCTTACAGGTCCCAGTGAGCTGTTGCAACATTTGCAAGTAAAGCCTCAACATGATGCTATAGAGGTTGGGAAGCAGCTGCAGTCTTCACTATTATTTGTCCAGGGAGCATTTGTAACCTCAGAGACGTCAGACTGAGTATCGAGGTGAGATGTTCATCCCTGTCTGTTCTTTTTTACAGGGGTAGCATTTAATTATGCTCTGGGAAATAATTAATAATCTGATCATAATCTGAAAACAATCAATGCTACTCTTTCCACTTGATGTTAAATGTGCTGTAAACACCTTAATGAGGGGAACTAGAGGGGCAATATTAATTATGTATAACACATGCATCTGCTTGGAGGTTTCATATTTATTATATATTATTACAATAACCCAACTTCTTTTTGCATTTACTTGCACCCTTGTGTCCCTTGCACCACTATTTGTATTTTTTTTAAATGTTTTAAGAATATTGTATTTTGCCTTGTATGAGGATTGTCATTGCCAAAACTTCACTGTAGCTATCGTGCATATGAAAATATGCCTTTCAATCTTTGTATCTTGAATCATCCCTCCAACTTTAAAACAAATGTACTGACAAATGATGAGATTATACATGTATTGACTTTACTAGACGTACTAGTCTAACCCATAACATTGTATAAATTATATGTAAAGAGAGAACTTTTGCTGATAGTATTTTCTATCTTGTTTCACCTCTACAGGTAAAGCATGGGCCAACGTTTACATTTTGCATCGAAGGCCGGTCTGTAGCACCGAACCTTGAATTCTCCTTCACTAAGATCAACTTTGGCAAGTGCTTCCTGTACAGTGAGGGCAGGGTGCCGGCCTCACAAACGCTAGTGATCAGCAACAAAGGGGGAAAGGACATTAGGTAAATATCGAACTGTTTTTTCTACATGTCTGGTAAAGGTGTTACTGCATAAAGGAATGTTCACAACCAAGTCTAATTTCCAAACCTGTGCTCTGCCTCCCTCTCCTCAGTGTCCAGTGTGTGTTCAGAAACACCTCTTACCTAGAGACGGACTTCCAAACAGCTGTTTTGTCCCCTGGTGCTGTGATAGAGGCACCAATCAACTTCTATCCTCGTGAGGCGTGCCGTTACCAAGAAACAATCACCTTCATCTTAAACAGCTGCATCACCAAACACGTGGACGTACTGGCGCAAGGCGTGGAGAGGAAGGTGTGAAAGAAAGAAGCGTGAATCATTTACAAATATATAAAGGTTAACGCCATGTTAACTGAGCAAGTGATGTTTTAAGACTTTAGTTAACATTTTGCTGTAGTGACATGTCAATCAATCAATCAATCAATGTTTATTTATATAGCCCAATATCACAAATGTTACATTTGTCTCAGTGGACTTCACAGTTTGTACAGACAGTATGACAATACGACACCCTCTGTCCTTAGACCCTCACACCGTAAAAGGAAACACTTCCAGAGAAACCCCACAGTTTAAAGGGGAAAATGGGAGAAACCTCAGGGAGAGCAACAGAGGAGGGATCCCTCTCCCAGGACGGACAGACGTGCAATAGATGCCGTGTGTAAATCGAAGAGATAATACATTTTACAGCATAGGTAGACCAAATGTTTGGAAACGCATGTGTCTATAATAAGAAGATGAATCCACTAGGATGTCAACAATCCTGTGGAGCCACCAGGGAAGTAGTATGATGAGAGTCAGGCAGGACCACAGTGATAGGTTCAGCCACGACTCGAAGTCCAGGACTCAAATCCAGAACTCAGGATAGAGGATCCAGGACACAGGACCACAGCAACAGGATCAGCCACGGCTCAGGATCCCGGCGTAGATAGACAGCAAAAAGTAAATTTGGGGGAAGCTGGGTTATTCGGAACATGAGAGTACACAGGTACAGACAGAGAGAAGGAAGAAGTAAGTTGTCCCCCGACGTGTCTATGTACATGGACTCCCTTAGGATAGGTTGAGGGAAAAGGGTAGCAAGTAAGAAGCAAGGAACATGACGACATGTCTTGTCGTGTACTGTATATATCTAATTAGATCTCACCAAAAGCCCTCTGAGGAAGGGACTAGAAAACGGATAGTCTCTCAACTTGGCTTCAGCCATTGCAGCTGACACTTATTGAGTTACCCAATATGTGAATATGTCCCACTAGTATTACAATCCACATTATCCTTACACAATATACAGTCTGATGGCTGTTTGAATGTAAGTTAGCGCACTTAAAAATCTGTGAGCTAACTATTATAATCAGAACCATAATACTTTATTCATGCCGGGGATTTTTTTCCCTTTGTCTGACAGTTGCTCTATTTAAGAATGAAATAAATAAAAGATAAATACAAAATAACTCAAATGAAAATATTTGTTTAAACATCAGAAAAAATATTAAGATTGTGCAATAAAACATACAATTAAATAAATATATTTATATGAAGAAATAATGTAAAGTAAAATGTGAAATAAAAGATGAAATAAACATATTTAAATAAACATAAGCAGTTAAACTAAAATGCCAAATAAAAGATTACAAAAATAGGCTACAGAATATTTATACAGTTATTAAAAGTGAGAGTAAGATTTGCATTTTGCACACCATCAATGGTAATTCACTAAAAGGCAGATGAAACTTGACAATATCATTCATTAAAACATTTGTTATCCTGTGTATGTATCATTCGTTCCTAGCTGGAGGTGGAGCCCCCCATGCAGAGGAAAGTGAAGCTGGGGTCTCTGATGTTGGGTCAGAAAGTGAAGAAACAAGTAGTGCTGGTCAACCGGAGCCTGTTAGACATTTCCTTCACTCTGATGCTTAACACAAACACACCACTGGACCTAAGGGTATGAAACACTTACAACACAGATGCACACACACAGATAAAGTGTTTATAGGGTATTTCTACAGAATCAACACTTGTCACTTTCCTCTCCTCTCATGTGTTTAACCTCTCCTCTCCTCCAGGACCTGTCCTTCAGTCCAGCAGGAAAGCAGAGCCTGAAGGCCAGCGTTGGTTCATGTAACGTTGAGATCCAGTTCTCTCCTCGTCAGCACATACCTCCCTTCTCTGCTGAGCTGCAGGCGGAGGTAGCAGGCCTGCTGCTCCCCCTGCTGACCATCCAAGGCTGCTGCCAGGTAGGCTGTCAAACACATATGACATCATTTTACAAAGCTGGTGCAAGTGATGCTCTTCCTTGACGTAATTACGTGCACTAACAAGACCATAATTATATTCTTACTTTATGTTTACTCCTTTGACGTTCTTCCTTTAAAGGAAACATGGCCAGTATCATGGTGAAAAAAAGTACTTGTTATGAAGAACTTGCTATCCTTAGAACATTTTGTCCTCATTTATTTCATGATTTCTAATTATTTATTGACAGGTGTGTGTGAACATTTGTGTTCTTCTTTTTCCTGTGATTCTTTTCATGTATGTCTTTGTTTTTAATTTAATTGTTGTCTTCTCATTAATTTGTTTTTTTGATCACTTTGTGTTCATTGTTTGTTGTGTGTTTGATTATCTACGTTTACATGTTTCCTTTTGTGTTATTGTTTGTTTACTATATTACTTGAGGGGAGTTTGGTTGTTTAAACCTGTGGCTTCTTAACCTCACCTGACACATTTCTTTCTTCTTTTGAATATGTTTATGCATGAATTAGGCTAGACTCAGGTTAACCACTGGTTCTGATTTGACCTGTCAGGTAGTGGAGGTCCAGTTGGACCAGGACCACCTGGCCTTCGGAGCTGTTGTGCAGCGCTGCCAGGCCAGGAAGAGGATTCACATGATGAACACTGGGGACATTGGTGCCAAGTAAGATTAGATATATATCAACTCATTAGTTTAGTTGTTTAGAGGTTTAGATTGTTGTGTGCTGTTTTGAAAAAGATTAAGAAGACTGATTGTATCCTCATTCTTTATCTTTAATGGTATAATAACATCAGTTTTGTAGTAGTTAACTTTAGTTAACGTATTGGATTTACATCTTATTATTTCATTTTGTTTAATCTTGTTACCAGGTTCCAGTGGAAAACAGAGGCCTTTCCTCCAGAGTTGTCCATCTCCCCAGCTAAAGGCTACATCTGTCCAGGCATGGAGGTTCCTTTCTCAGTGACCTTTGCCCCAGTGCAAGTGAATAATGATATAAGACATGAGAACCTGTGCTGCTGGGTGGAGGGGTCCTCCTCACCCGTCAGATTCACTGTAGCCGGCTCCTGCATCGTAGCCTCCACCAGCAAAGAGGTTTGTTGGCTGCACTTTTATACTGATTCATTACGAAGCTAAAAACACATTTACATTATAAATGTGATCATGGCATGTACTCATTTAGGGGAGATAACACTCAATATAATAATAATCTTTATTTTTATAGCACCTTTCATACAACAAGTGCAGTCCAAAGTGCTTCACATAGATATTTCACAGAAAATGTTTATCACACAGAATACAGATACCAGTAAAAAACATAAAAACAAACAAAAGATTGCATAGAGTAGACATATATAAAAAATACAATTAGATTAAAGGTAACCAACGCAGCTGAGTGCTTCCTAAAAGGCTAAATTATACAAATGTGTTTTGAGTTTTGTTTTTAAACTTAAACCGAGCTGGCTTCCCTGATGTCTACAGGTATTTAGTTCCATAGCTTTGGGGCATAGTTAAAGAAATCTGCGTCACCAACTTCTTTTACCGCTGTTTTTTGGAATTTGTAAAAAAAACAGCAGCAGAGGATCGCAGAGTTCCTGATGGTTTGGAGCTTACAAGGGAGTTAACAATGTAACTTGGACCTTCCCCTCTAAGGGCCTTATATGTCAGGAGGAGGACCTTAAAATCAATCCTACAGGAAGCCAGGAAGCCAGTGCAGAGCGGCTAGAACTGGAGTAATGTGTTCTCTCCTCTTAGTTCTGGTTAATAACCGAGCTGCTGAGTTTTCAACACTTACTATATGTATTTTATTTTATTTGACAATTGATACAAAAGAAACAATGGCTTGTATGGTTTACAAAGCATTTACAGAGCATATGCAAACTGTTACATTTCTCATCTCAACCAACACGTTGCCTTATAAAACACACTACCAGTTAAAGTAACTAAAATCTTACATAAGGGGTTGAAATAATATCACATTATTGTTACTTTTTTCCAGTAACTGTTTTGTGAAAAAGTTTCTATTAAGTACAAACAAATATTCTTCATTTATCAGACATAATTATAACCACATCTGATTGATGTAGCACATATTACAATGCAATTTATCTGAAAGGTTTTCACATTTAAAAATAATGGTGAATGAGTTTAAGATGTGGGGTTCTTTAGTAGGTAGAAAAGTGCCTTCCTCAATGAAGCTTCCCATTGAGGGGATTTAAAATATGCTGATTCGACTCCTCTTATGGAAAAGAGAGTCTTGTCATTCTTAAATGTCACTGAACATTTGGAAAAACTTTAAATCGGTTTCAATTAGCTGACAAGTCACTAATACCTGTGAATAAATGGTGAGGAAGTGTGTTCTATTGTTTTTAGAGTTAGTTGACTCATATTGTAGTACTTTTTGTTTTAGCATTCAGTAACTGGTATTACCTCGAATTGAACTGCCTTTGTTTTGCCTATTGCATAAATCTCCTACTTCTGACTGCTTGTCTCCAGGTGCTCCACTTTGTCTGCCTAGTGCGCGGCTCTCACACCCACACCCTGCCTGTGGCCAACCCCACAAACCAGCAGTGCAGCGTCAGACCTGTCATAGAGGGCCAACAGTGGAGCGCTGCCCCCATGCTGATCCTTAGACCCCACCAAAGCAAGACCTACCAGATCACCTACCGACCTCTGTCTATGACTGCTGATGGGAAGAAGCACCAGGTAGGCTAACATTCAAACTAGTGGTTTCAATCGATTAAAAAATGTAATCGCGTTACCCACAACATAATGACCTCTTTATGCACACTCAGTGAAGCTATGGTGTAAGCAATAAAGTGTGACACCCATCTTGTTATTTCCTCAGGGATCTGTCTTCTTCTCCTTCCCTGATGGGACGGGCCTGCTGTACTCCCTGCAAGGAACTGCTGAACCTCCCAAGGCAGAGGACTCCATTGTACACGAGCTGCCAGCCAAGACTCACCACACAGAGGTGCTCCCTGTGCACAACTGGCTCTCCAAGCAACAGAGGTAAAATCACACACACCCACACACACACACACACACACGCTTTTTATCTTCCGAAGCAACCTAAGGGTAGATGAGGATGTCAGGACGTCTGTTTAGTTTAACTATATAAAATGATTTATTGAACAATAAACTCTTCTGGATTTGGCATAAATCAAATCAAAATGCAGAATCCAAATGTCACTTTTCTGATCAGGCAATCTACTGTCAAAAATACTGCATCATATAATGCACCAAAAATGTGGTTTGAAAACTGTGGCATTTCCCACATCTAACCTTAGAACACACACTTTGCGTTTAGGGTGCTAAATACTCGTAAGTATGTACAGTGGGCTTTCAAGAATGTTGTTAAAAAAACAACACTTTCTTAGGTTGAAAGTGATACTATTTAGATCAGTGAGAGTGAAGCAAAATACGTTTTTAAATGTCCCATTACCCATTTGAAAAGGGAAGTGGAGGAAATCTTACCCTTAGCTGACGAAACAGATGGTGTGTTACACACAACCATCTGAGAAGCTGTCATTGGAAACTATTTTGAAAAAGGGCCTCGCATTCAAAAATACTTGGCATGTGATTTGATGAACCATCCGTCTGTGATGTCTATCAAGTGCTAACTGCAATCAGATCAACGGTGGCACTGACTTCAGGAGCTCCACACAGGACACTCATTGGTCCGGTCACTGGTTGTTCTTTATTGACACAGTGAAATGTAGCCTCTGCATTTAACCCATCCTAGTATTACGTCCATACATGGTTCGATTGGGACCCAAGCCAAGTCTCCACAAAATGAACTATATGACAATATAGAATCTCATGTGATCTTGTGATAATGCAGAATGAATCCCGTTGACCTGCAGTAGAAATGTTACCCCCTCAATTTTGCAAAACCTCTTGCTACTTATCAAAAAAGATAACCTAAATGCAATGCTATGAACTGTAATGGGGGGGAAATACACAAAGCCTGTTGGGATTAGTGTACAATAAAGTCATGAGTGTTTCTGTGTCGCAGACTGAAAACCCAACTAGACCTTGGCCATTAACAAAACAAAAAATGCTTTGGCTTAATTGAAGCAAATGCAGTAGCTGTGGTTAGGCTTACTGGAAGCTAATTTATTTAAAGGATTATTTATCTTTGAATTTGTATCTTCATGGTTAAATGCAATTATTGTAAGTTGCTTTGGATAAAAGCCTCAGCTAAATGTAATGTTCCCTGGCTCCAGGTTCCATGTGCTGATAGAGACCCTGAAACCTGACAAGCCAGATGCTACAGTGTCCCTCAAGGGTCAAAAAGACATTGTCGTCCCTGCTCTGGCCACTCGGGACTACCCGTTGTCTTTCTTTACATACAAAGAGGGGCAGTACAACGCCAAGGTTTGTCCACGCGCAAATTTCTATCACCAGATCAGAACAAATGTTTGAGCCTTGTCCTCACATCTCCCTTTTCCATCTCTTATCAGGTGACGTTTCATGATGAGGTGTCCGGTGAGTACTTGTTCTATCTCGTGACCTTTAAGGCCACACCTCCAGGAGTCCTGTCCACCATGGAGCTGGTGACCGCTGTGCGTCAGACGGCCTCAGCCACTGTGCAGGTGGAGAATCCTCTGACCACAGTCACCTGCCTCACTACGGAGTGTAAATGCCCTGACATCAGTGCCCCGGCTCAGCACACTGTGCCAGGACAGTCCAAGGTGGGTACTGACTGCTTCTACCTGCCTCACACTACCTCACTGGATTTAAATGAAAATGTAAATTAAAAGCTACTTCGCACACTTTTGTAATGTATATAGTATCCTATATTCATATGTTTTTGTTGTTGATTAGTCCATAGATTGGTCCATTATATTGGAGTATTCAAATGTATTGTGTTTTTTTTTTACCGTTGTTTGTATATATTAACGGTTTGTTTAATTAATTTATATTAATTAATTTAATTGTTTTTTTAATTACATTTGTATTACATTATATTAGATTTGTAGCTAATCTGTTAACATTCTGCTGTGATAAAGAAAAACAAAATTAGATTTAAAAAAATCTATTTTATTCTGAACTATTTCAGTGCTGAAAAGGCAGCTTTGTGCTAAAACAAAACCTTAATTGATGCTTACATTACAGGCACAGTGCACATCAATAAACATTGATGTGAATAAGCCAGACTTAGCCAAGAAGCTTTTTTTCATCTGTAGACCCTAGACCGACTTTTTCAAGTCACCCTAAAAACTAATGTGTATTTCAAAACATTTAAAAAATGAAAAACATGCAACACAGAGGCTCCGAATACGGGACATGCTAATAAAAACTAAAATCATACATTGCTACACAGCAACAAGTTACAGCAGTAGAGACAGAAGACAGTATAGTGCTAATTAACCATGTCTTTAAATGAGTTCAAATCAAACTGTATGTAGCTTTTTCTATAATGGCAGTTGGGATGGACTTCCAATTTAGTGCAGCTTTAGCAGAGACTGCTGATTGACTTAAATACATTTTTGTGAGGGACAATGCAATCCCCTCTTGCGGCACCTCTTGTTAACCTATAAGCAGTTGTTCTTATGATACTCTCCGTGTGTGTGCTCTCTACAGGGCTCTGTGAGCTTCGAGTATCTGCCCCTGCGTGTAGGCGAGTCTACAGCGCGCCTCACTCTCCACAGCAGCGATCTGGGTTCCTTCCACTACGACCTGCTGCTCAGAGCTTTGCCTCCCCCACCAGAGAAGACCGTCCACTTCAGCACCTGTCTGGGCAGCAGCCAGGCCGTTCTTGTGAAGTTCATTAACCACTCACGCTTCAAACCCGAGTACTCATGCAAGGTGAGAAAATATCCAGCTTGTCCTTATGACTTGGAGAAGTACAGTAGGTGCACATTATGTTCTTATGATGTTCTGTCTGTTCTCGCCATTTTTTTCTTGTTTTGCTCTTAATAGAAATGGACCCTGGATAGTGTCTTTCAAAGGGATCACTTCACCAATCGTTCACATACACATCGAGAGGACTACTACTCAGGCTCTGACAACAGTTTTATAACTTGTTGAATTCATTCATTTTAACAGTGATTAGCTGACATCTGAGTTTGCCTGATGCAAAGACTTTAGTTGGAGCAAGATTGGCACAACTTTTTAAAGATAAATAAAATAGACGTAAATATATACATATCAAGAGTCAAATATATATATCTTTAGAGCATTTCTATTGGATACCTATATACACATACATGTATACACAAATACATGTACATAATAAGTGAGTATACACTTTAACAGACCAACCTCCTACTAACAAAATGTGAACATAGGATACTTTTTACAATATATGAGTATGCAAAGTAATTGCAGTTTTTAAATGAAATGAACATTAAATGCAAGAAGGTACATTGGGGGAACAATAAATACAAATGAATGAATTGGCATTGTAAAAACATGGTTGAGCATAGATTTATAAAAATAACGTGTAATTAAGAAATCATCATTGATTAATTTGCTGTCATATGATCCCTTTCTTGTTATCTCCTGCAGGCCGATTGCCCGGACTTCACAGTGGACAAGGTGAGGCCCCAGGTGGGGTCTGAGTCGGGCGTGGAGGTTTGTTTTGAACCTCATCAGCTGGGGCAAGTGATAGGCCAGCTCACCCTGTCCTCAGGAATCGGGGGGGAATACATCTTTCCGCTGCACGGGATCAGTCTCCCTCCCAAAGCCCAGGGTCCCTTCAGCATCAGGGCCGGTCGCAGCGTTACCATCCCCTTCAAGAATGTGTTCCTGCACACCAGCGATTTCTCTTTTCAGGTAAAGAAGGGATGAGCTCAGGGCCAGGGCATTGGTGTCACTAACAATGAAAGTGCTTCAGAAACAGAAATACTTCATTTATCCCGGGGGAAATTGGGTTTCATGAGAGAAGTTCCAATAAAATAAAATAAAATAAAAATATAAGAATGTGCATAACCAAGATAAAAACTGTTATTTATGCACATAAGAATGTAAATTAAAAATGTCCAACAAAAGAAAAAAGAAAATATAAATATTTAAGAAATATGAGAAAATAAGTGCATTCATGGCGTTCCAATATGCTGTATTGTGCGAGAGCAGTGGTAAAAGAGGCTGTGGCGCAGTGGACTAGTGCGTTGGTGTTCGGATAAGGGGAGCACAGGTTCAAACCCCACTGCAGTCAGCATGTCGTTGTGTCCCTGGGCAAGACAATTGCTCCTGTGGGGATTGGCCACAGTATGTAAGTCGCTTTGGATAAAAGCGTCTAACAAGTAACATGTCATGTAAAAAAAGTACTCAGACTTTTTACTTAAGTAAAAGTTGCAATACTAAATGTAAACATGCTCTGTTATAAGGTGAACTCCTGAATTCAAAATCTTACTTAGGTAAAATGTTATAAGTATTGGCATTCAAATAAAGCTGTCAGATAAATGTATTGGAGTAAAAGTATAAAGTAGCATAAAAGGAAAATACTTAAGTCAAGTTCAAGTAAAAAAAATTGCGTACTTATGGACATTACTTCAGTATAAGTAGTTTGTTACATTCCATCACCTTCAGTAAGCCAAATCATTTGTTGACATCAAATGATGTTCACTTCTGGGTGCAATGCTACACAGAAGCAAATACTTTAAATGTAGCCTGGAACAGTTACAGTTAAGAGGGTGTCTCAGTCGGGCAAGCTTCCTTTGTTTAGCACTTTTCATATACAGGATGCAGCTCAAAGTGCTATAACAATATGACACACAACAACATGTACAAATGCAGCATATGTACAGGATATATAGTATTATCAAAGGATAAAAACAAGGAGGTAAAATAGGCATGATAATACAAAACAATACAAAAGTTAACAACAGATCACACAACCAGCTTAGTAAAAGTAAGAAAGACATAAGACAACATAAATAAATACAAAAAGAACAATAATGAGACGAATAATAAAAATGTAAACACAATTTAAAGGGAGATAAATTAATTAATTAAATAAATAAATAAATTGCTCTTATTGTCATTTCACAGTACAGGTACTATGTAACGAAATTGTTCCTCTGCATTTGACCCATCCTAGTGTTAGGAGCAGTGTGCTGCCGTGGACGGCGCCCGGGGAGCAGTGTAGGGAACGGTGCCTTGCTCAGATGTCTCTAATTAAGTCTAAACTTAATAAAAAAGTGTTGCTAATGGAGCCTTATTTCCCATGTTCCTAGGTGGACAACCCCTGTTTTACTGTCAAAGACATAGACACCGTCCCCTCCAAAAAGACCCAAAACATTGTGGTGTCTTTTGAGTCCCCTGCAGCAGGCTTTCCGGGACCGTGGTTCGGCAATCTGACCGTCTCCAGCCAGCGCTCTGAGGGCCACAGGAAACCTTGTTCTTGGATCTTTTACCTGAAGGGCTATCGGCCTGAGTCCTCTTAGAGCGATATGTACACACACACTTACTGTACACATATGCATTTGGCTGTGCAGACACACACTGATGCCAAAGGAAAGGCACAGGAAACATTTTAGGCATTAGCTGTTACTTGGTTTTGATGATGCTTCAGTTAAATGTTTTTACAAGTTATTTATACGTTGCCCTAACATTAATGTCAATGTTAAAAAAAAATGGCTGTGTATGTTAATGTCATTATTATATTTGCTCATTATCTAAATACAACTTGCAGTAAAAGAAATGTCCACACGAGGGCAGTCATGTCAAGTAGGTTTTCACATATGAGCGCTTCAGTGATTGGGGAAGATATGTAATTTGTTCCTTTTTGTCATCTTTACATCCTGCATGTTAAAGTGTCAATCTTTCACTTTCAGTTATATTCTCCATAGCACTCTGTTTGCTGTTAAAACACACAGTGCATTGCAGGCAAGACCAGCTACTCATCTGAAAGGGCAGAGCTAGAGGAGACGCTCATTACCAAAGGTTAGATTTGTCACATCACACACAAACACGCACACATTTAAACCTCTAACGAGGAGCTTTACTGACAGTTCAAGAGACACACCTCATACACCAAAAGGAAAATCCTCTGATCCTCCCATCAGGACAAAGTGAGCCACACTTCCTGCTGTGACTGTTAAAATGAAGAGGGGAAATACAGCATTTGCTTTGTTCATATTTGGGGGGAAAAGCACAACGTTTTTTTTCATATCCTTCTGCCTTCTTTCGGAGACTAGACTCTATTCCAGATGTTGATGTTACTATTCATGACACACAGCTTTGAAATTGGAAAATCCACTATCAAATCGTATTTTTTTAATTTTTAAAAGGACAAAGAGTTTAATCACTCATAGGCTAACAATTGTATCCTATAGGAATATGCAGGTTTGGGGAGTAACACAATACATTGAATCTGATTGCATATCTGATACAAAAGAAACGTAACTATTCCCTTTTATGCTTTTTAGGGTTTTCACTTTGTTAATGGGTGTTGTGCATGTAAATGGTCTGCAAAGGCTAAAATCCCAGTTCTCTCCAGAGGAAATAACATTCGTGCCTCTATTGGCTAGAGCTCCAACCCATTGTACGTGATAGGCTAAGGAGCAGGACATCTCTAAGCGGTTGACCAATCACAACAGAGCCGGCCAGCTAACCAATCAGAGCAGACTGGGCTCTGGTTTCAGACGGAGGGTGAAAAGAGGTGCTGCAGCACAGGCAGTATGAGAAAAATAAAGAGCTTTTTGAACATTAAAGCATGTTAACACGTCACAGTAGAGGCACACAAAACTAATATGAACCTGCAAATGAGCATTATAGCACATGATTTGTTAAAAAATAGTTTATTATTGTATTTCAATTATTTAACTACCTATAATATAATCTGGAACTCTTAGGTCATGCCTGTATTTTACTGTGGTTTTGAAAGGAAGCCTATTGTTTCAAATTTTGTTAAAATGAGGACACAGGGAACACATTTTTGATACAAAATACCTTGGTTTCTTTTTTTACAAGGTTGGATTATTGTATTGTCCTTACTGTGTATCTTATTAATAAATATTTTCCTTGTATTTTTGTTGCATTGCATTTGATTTTGAGGTAATTCAAAAGTAATCAGGTTATATTACTTTTAAACTGTCATGCTATGTTACTGATTTCTTTTTTCTTTTTTAATCAATTGTGACTTAATACAATTTGTACCCTCCAAACCCAGAATATGACATAGCTTAGTCTTACTACAGCACAATGAAGCAAAGCAAAACATACAAACAAAATGGCGTAAACTTTTTAAATCTTACAATTATCACTCGAATATATTAAGGATGTTCCTTTAGATAGCCGATATTGGGGGTCTGGTGGGTGTGCTTTGGGGTGGGTGCTGTGATGTAATAGGGGATGTGGGGGGTGGGGGCTTCTCTCTCTCCCCCATAGAGCGCAGCATGAGCGCTCCGCAGCAAAAGGATGTGTGAGCAGGCAGCGCGCTACTGTAGGGACGGAGTCCACAAACTGCTCAACAAAGAACAAGCCAAACTTCGAGCAGAGAGCCAGGAAAGCCGCGAGCAGCCGAACCCCGTAGCCGGTCAGGACAGCGAGTCCGCCACGGCAGCACAGTCCGGAAACAGCGGAGCCCAGCCCGGTGGAATCGACGGGCTCGTCCGCTGGATCGTAACCAAAATGAGTGACAACAAGAACATCTCCAGCCGGGAGTTCGCTTCCAGCAAGGAGGATGTGGCCGTGGCTCAGGAGCAGTTCTTCGCCCCGGAACCGCGGAGAGGCATCTCCGTTATTTTGGATGTGAGTATGGGGAGCCGAGAGGCAGTGGTCAGCCGGACAGGGTGGGTGGGTGGGAGGCTGTGGGATGAAAGCATCCAGTGAGCAGTGCGTACGGAGCGGTGCAGTGCGCACTTACGCACAGAAACGAGCTTTAAAAATACCGTTAATGTTTATAGTGTGAGTTCAGCAGGTGCTTTGCCCCGTTAATGAACTCGATTGCACGGCACTTGTCCTTCGGGAATCAAGCCTTTGATCTCCCGATGACGGACATTGACCGATCAATGTTGAACACTATCTTTCCTCTTGGTGCCCCGTCAAAAAGTGTACTGTAAATGTGTTTGTGCACCAATACTCCCATATTTGTGGCTTTATCTGTGCACTTTTTCTCCACATCATTACATAAGTCATCATAAAATGAACTCAGTGCAGTACAGCGTTGCTTTTAATGATGGACAGTTCAAAGAAAGTCCGACGCGCACCCCCACCATTCGGCACACCCAGAGTGAAAGCAGCATCAGTAAACCGGATTCCCTGTTAGGCTGCTTCAGGCAAGTTCATCACAAAACTTTAAATATTAACGCCTCAGTACCAAAAAATGTATTGATCAAGTTGTTACAGAATTCTGATGTAATATATCATTTTATGCAGAGCCCAGGGGCATACAGTAAACCTGTAAAAAGATGCAGCATTACCGGCACAGGAAGTGGCAATTACGCAGCAATTAATTCAATTTAGGTCAGCTCATCAATACTTTTGGGGTTATTTTTCATCACTTAATATTTCCCCTGGAGACCAGCTGCTTTTAATACTTTAATGGCGTTGAAAATAAAAAAGAGATCAGGTTCTGCAAAACTTGACCACGACCCAAATAAAAAAGGGTTACATGGGATTGGAAAGCAATTATGATCAAGACCAGAGGGCACATGTATCCTAGTACCCTAGTAAACGGATACGTTTTGTTTCACGGTCTGGGTGTGTAGAGGGGTTGAAGGGGGGGTAGTCTCGTCTGAACGGGAAGCAGTCCTCTCCTGCAGCACAGCAGGGGTTCTGAAGCTTTGAGTCAGGATCCAAAAATGGTTCTGTGACCTGTTTCTAATACGTGTCCCAGGAACAGCTGGTCTGTCGACAGATGGTGTATTTCTGGATTGAAAATGTTTAGAAAATGTAGAATTTCTACGCTCCCATGCTCAACATTTTCATCACTTCAGGCACAGTTATCGGAATCAGATTTATTGGCACATACAAGGAATTTGCTATAATATATAATACATAAACACAGTAAGAGGGATATAGGTTTTAAAGGAGCTAATATAGAATTATTTTAAATATATATTTGGAAAAAACTATTACAACCTTGATGAGAAGACATGTTTAAAAGAAGTGTAAATAGGCAAAACAAATTAGAAAATATGCAGAATGTGGCCGACTTTAAAGTGTTTGATCCAAATGTGTTGGAATAGATTTTATAGGGATATTTGGTTTTATCACACAGTTCTTATTTAACATCCCACTTAGTTCTATGTTTGTGTTTGTATTTAATGGGATTGTTTCAGTTTTTGTTGTATTTTACGTGATTCCCCAGCATGACAGTTATCTGCACGCCATGCCTTCTGACATCAGCAGTGAACTCTTCCTGGCATTTTTTTTCTCTCCACCTAACTTTGTGCGATAGCTAAAGCTTTGAAATGTTAATCGTTTTTGCCATGTTTTCAATATTATTGACCCCAGCATTATTATCATGGTGAACAAGTCAACACCAAAGGGATTTAGTGATCTCGCAGATGCGTGTGTGCCCGCAGGTAGCATTCGGCTCATTAGACTTCCTGCTTGCTTGTTTCTCATCCTTTGCTGTTTTCTCGTCTTCTCCTTCATCTTAACCCTGATGCACCTTTTCTTTATATTCTGTAAACTCCTTTCATCCTGTGTCTTCTCCCCCTCCCTCCTTCTCTACTTTCCTCCATAACCTTCCACTCTTCCTCCTCTCCTCTCTCCTCAGCAAGGCCAAGAACACATCCATTCTTAATAAGGTTAAGAGATGGAACAGTCTCCCTCCTACTGTCTCTGTCTACAGTTTCTATTCCGTTCTATCTTTTTCTGTTTCTCTCTTTGGCTGTCTTTCTTTTTCTTCTCACGATGTGTTTCTCTAAAAACTCTCTACGAACACACACACACACACACACACACACACACACACACACACACACACACACACACACACACACACACACACACACACACACACACACACACACACACACACACACACACACACACACATACTTACACCCACACACACTGCCTTCTTAACACAACATGTTCCTCCTCCTCTCAAAGCCTGCCTGTCTCCAGCAGCTTCAGAGTTGGCAGTTTTTTCTTGAATGCGCCCCAGGGTGCCGCAGGAGAGAGAGAACAATGCAGAAGAGCTTGTCATTTGAAACATTCTGCGTCGCAGGAGTTAATGATTTTCACTTTGGCCTTTCCAGATGGCTGCAGTCACTGCCTGAGTGCACCACATACTTTTACAGGCAATAAACGATAGAGTAAAGGAGCGACAATTGTTGAACTTGTGCATTGCTAATTAATTCAAAGCGAGTTCTTTCGCTGTTACCTAAGTCAATCTTTTTTTCATGAAATTAGGTATCAAACTAACAATTTATTTAATTATCTAATCTGCAAACTTGACGAATAATTTATAAACACAAATGTGCCAAAACACATGCTAAGAAGAAACGTCTTCATCATCTTGACAACCAATGCGCTGAATCTAAAAAACATTCACCAACTTGATGAAAAATGCTTAACATTTACTAAAAGTGCTGTAAATAAGAACCCGCTGCAATAAGCGTAAAAAGTAAACCATTGTTATGGTCCATTTTACAGTATATGACAGTTTCATAGGTTTTTCAATTATGTTCTTCAGTGGGACCTATGTAACGCCACATCCTGTCAGGGTAAAGTTAATGTTAAATAAATACCCTGACAAAAATGGGGCCACCTGCCCAGTAAGTTGGAAACATTTCTAATTAAGTTGTCATTTTTGTTCTTCACAAGAATAATGAAAGCTACAATGGCCCACTGGTGGCAGGTTGTTTTCCAGAAAAAACAAGATCCAAAGGAAAACACCCACTTGTGTTCAAAGTGTTCCGATTTAAAAGTAATTTTGTGAAATTTGTAGCTCGCAACAAACATGATTGATGCTTGAAATGAATAGTAAGACACACACACAGAATAACTCCATGCATCTCACTCTCACTCTCTTTCTTCCTGTCTTTTCATTTCATCTTAAGCTTCCCCCTCACCGTGTCTTCTACCTCTACTCTGTCATTGTTGCGGTCTCCTGGCAGTTGTCAGTAGGAACAGTTTACATCACACAGGAGCAGACCTGCCACTTTCTATCCCACAGGGAAAGAGGCTTTCACAGAAGCTATAAATAAGCCCCCAGAACCTTGTGTGTTCACATGCATAGAACGTTGTTACACTGCAAGTAATCGTCAATCAGTTGTTGATCAGCGACTTTGAGTGTGTTCATAATCATTGTGAGTTTTTATCCCCTGCTGGGTGAGTAAACCTTTCAGTCCTTTGTATTATCATACTCCATTGCACGTTATCTACAGATAGATACACTTTGTTGGCTTATTATCATGTGGACTGCCCAAGTTAACAAATTGAATGGAAGACGGAACATCTCATTTGCAGTAATTCACCCACTGGGGTCTTTTTTGCGGGGAAGAATTGGTCGTTCTGTTCTACTAAAAAAAACACATTACGTGTGTTTAACCATCTGTCACTTCAGCTGAAATGTGACTTAATGTTCGTGTTCTGCTCCACTGACAGATCAATTTACAGGGCACATTTATGGGAAAAAGGAAATGCATCAGCTTCACTCTACAAATACAGCATGTTCGATTGCTGCTAATGGCATCTGAAGGAGCTTTTTATTTCTTACATCTCTCGCATAACTTCTAAATCAAAGCCTTACACTGATGTTTAGTTTAGTCTTTTTCTGGAGAAAATATAAAAGATTCCTCGCAAAAGATAAGGGAAGAGTTTGGTTTCATGAATACATTAAATACTGCACCCACACTTTTCATTTGTTGCTTAGTAAAACATATTGATTGATTGATTTTAAAGGATGGAAAAAAAGAAAATTGAATATGCTTCTGTCCTTAACAATTTAAGAAAATGTGATGGTTTCACTATTTCTACCTCAAAAGTAAGTATCTGGCAAGCAAAGAAAATCATGCTTAGCCTACATATCCAATCTGGCCTGAGAATCCCCTAAGAAGACTTTGAGGAAGTGGAAGTGGAGAAGAGCATCTGGACATTTTGCCAGGCCTGACTCCGATAAGGGAGTACAATTAATAGATGGATGAATCCAACAGGCCTGAGAGGACCAAGGTTCAAGCCCTAAGGACACATATTAGCTTTTGAAAATCTAGAATAGAGGTTTAATTTAACAAGTTTAAAAGTTTTGCTGTTTATAAATGTCAACTTTGTGCCATTCTTGCTATTAAGATGGGAAGCGTCATTGTTCTGAACCTTTGAATTTTGATTTCAAGAAATCCTTACCTCAATTTGATTTCCAACAAAGTTATCAACGAGACCCAGATGGAGAAATGACAAGAAGTTGCATGTCTTCATGAGGATGTGAATAGCATGCTTACCTGATCCCAAGTTCCATATTGTAACGGGCCGTCTCCACAGCAGCGTTAAAAAGTCTTGAAACGCTTCTGCCCATTCACTTTGAATGGGGTGACGTCACTTTCCCTCACTTTTCGCCGGAATGCATTGTGGGCAGGCGAGCGGAGATTCTCAGGATTTTCAAGATTCAAAGTTGAACAATGTTCAACTTTTGAAGCTGAGGTGGAAGCGGCAGCCAATCAAATCCCGTGTACGCAAATCTGGCAGTTCAAGCTCTAGCCAATCAAACGGCGTGTATGCTGGGAGAGACATACCGCAGAGGTCATTTCCTCATATTCCAAAAAATGGAGGAGAAATTAGCGGTAGCGAATCAATCACCCGGTGCTTTATGACCAGACCTACCGGGATATAAACCGGAGGAGCCAGGCATGGAGGGAGGTGGCAGAGACAGTGGTAGGTTTTCGCCTGTTTTGGGGAGTTTATATCCAGTTTACTTCAGGCTTTTTTGCTTCGTATGTCCCGGACGGGAGATTCATGTGATTGGTTGCTCGCAAAAAATCCTCAAGCTTCAGATACGCCCACCTCCAAGATTTTTTTAACGCTGCTGTGGAGACGGCCCGTAATGGTCAGCACTCTGGACTCTCATTTCATTTCATTTCAAATCTTTATTTAACCAGATTGTCCCTTGAGATCATAGATCTCTTTTTCAAGGGAGACCTGCAGCAGTTAGGTTCCACATGAAACATAAAACAACATAAAACAATAGAGGATATCATACAACATATTTACAAGCTACATTTACATACTTATCAACATTTACAAATACCCATAGTTTCAATCCATGGATCCAACAACCTACTGTAGATCTGTGATCACGCAAAAGAAGTATGGTTGATAGGTTGTAAAGCCATGAAACTTCTCAGATTTCATCTTAAAACCAAAGACCCATCTTTCGGATGTACATTTGTGTTCTGAATGTCAGGCATGACCAAAGCTTTGTTGATATATGTCAGCCTTCAAGATGGCTTCCTTACCCCAGATGTCTGGGATCACCTTTAGGGACGGTAAAGCTGCTAAGATATTCATAAGAGGAAGTGAGAAAAGAACTGCTGCGCCTGCATGTTGAAGGTACCACTTAAGATGCTTGCGAGGCATTCAGGGCACGTCCTCTTGGGATGAGACCCCAGTGCCCGGCTAGAAAAATCCTGAAAGTACTACAGTACATATCCAATCTTCTCTGGGAATTCCTCGGGGTCACTAAGAAGACCTGGAGGATGCCGAAGTGAAGGAGAGCAACTTGTGTGACTGTGCCTGAGTCTGGTTCCACTATGACCTGACCTGGATAGGGGATGGAAATAGGTGGATGGATGAGCAGTATAGGCTGGGGAAATGGTACAATGAGCAGTCTTGCAAGACATGCCGCTTTTAGTTTGTGGGTGCAAGAAGTCCTAGGTTCAAGCCTAGAGCGCTTCAAAGTCTCTGCTTAGTTCAAATTAAAGGGGACCTATCATGCAAAATGCACTTTTGTACGTCTTTTATACATGAATATGTGTCCCCGGTGTTCCAGGGAACTCACCAAGTGTCAGAAAACACAACCCTCTCTATTTTCCTCCATACCCAAATCTCTAAAAAAGGGGCTGCAACGGATCTGATAAAAACTGATCCAGATTTGAACACTGTCCTGACGTCAGGACGGTGGCGCTACGGCTATTGGGCCAACTCCACCAATCAGGAGGAGACAGCCACGGCCATTGCCATTCGAAAGCGCTGGAGACGCTGTAGTACATATGCCAGGCCTGTAAGTGGCACTGTAGTCTGCCACAAAAGCAGCGAAGAAGACTTGGTTACCATGGTTACCCTTCTGTTTATTCTCCGCTGTGGCTTTTTTTCTCCCTCCCCGAGGCAAGCGTTTGCTCTCGCTGCAATGCAATCCCTCCCCGTCGAGGCAAGCACTGTAATTCTCTCCGGTTAGTCCACCAGCAGATGACAAACACCCACCTCTCCGCCTCTTCCAAGGAACGAGGGGACCGTGCGGCAGAGTTTCAGTTTCAGTTCCTTTCGCCGGTCAAGATGTCCGTTAAAGTTGAAATCTTCCGGATAAAATTAGAAAAGTGCCGGTCAAAGGTCTTCTTTGTTATTTATTGAGCTTTAAAACTAATTAATAACGACTCTATATAATAAAACACGGAGATCTCTTTTTCTCCCCCTCTTCTGACAGCCCAGCAGTTGATCAGAGCACGGCTCACCTCTCCTGCAGGGGGGCGTGGTCAGCAGAATCAGACCCGTAGACAGCAAACAACACATAGAGCGAAATGAGGCATGGGTAAAATGCATGATCTGTTTGGTATTTTGAAAACAGAAACGTATAAATATACCTTATATAGGTATGACCCTACAATATATCATTTAAATATAGCATGATAGGTTTCCTTTAAGTATTATATTTAATTAGCTTCATAGTATAATTGTCTAAGTCCTATTTGAAGGTTTTGAGAAAATTAAGAAAACACTTTATTTTCTTTCTGTCAATGAATCAGGAGCTGCTCTGGAGGCTTTAACTCCTGTTTTTCTTCTTCAATCTGTCGCCCGGTGTCCGTGTTACTTCCTGACCATTCTTCTTTCTCTCTTGAATCAAAGAGAAGAGCTAATGCTTCACTTGTGGTCAGCCGAGCCTTGTTTTTCATGGTGGACGCCATCTTTGTATGTAGCGTCGAAAATGGCTAAGTCAAAGAGATGACTTAGATAGTGATTTTGGAACGTGAAAAGCATTCTGATGCCTGATAGGCAATAATGCACGGGGATCAGCAGTGTTAGGAGAGTAGAGTTAGGCAGATATCTCAAGACTTAGGCAATTTTGCCATGAAGCTAATGATTTGTCAAATGGGGATGCAAGATGGGGTCTTGATGGAACAAAATCACAAGTTAATCGCACCTAAACTTAAAGAACCCTTTTCCTACCAAGCTCTTTAACAACTTCTCACTTATGAGAGTCAACTGAAACAAAACAATGGAAGCATGTGAATTCTTAGTGGAGCCATCAAAATACTTTTTTTCAAGGGGGAGCTGTTGACAATGATGTACAGCACGTTCTACCTTTTGTTTTCAAGCAATAACGTTGTCCTTGATAACTACTTAGCAGTTGCTTAATAAGCTGTCTTGGGATATTCCTGAGGCTAGCAAAACTCTATCAAGCGTAAGTGTGTTTCCTGTCAAAAACTGCAGCCAAGATGATTTGCATGGCTCGTTGGTCACTGCATGCGTAATCAGCTAATATTCGCTGACTTTAATTCCAGCACTGTGTGATAAAACGTGATGGGTATTAAAGTGATTTCAGAAGTAGATAAGATAAATACAATGTTTACAGAAAAATGGAAGGAGTTAGTATTACTACTGTATGTCAACCCCATGTAACTACCACCACAGACTAAGTCACTTTCCAAACCCTTTGATTTGTATAGGTGTTGTTTAAGCAATAGCTCACGACAGGCCGTGGTATATGGTCATTATATCACAGTTAAGGGGCGTGGTTCGGCCCAACGCAAAGTAGAATGGCTTACGTGGTTACTTGTATAGGTTGAGGTTGTTCTAGGCTGTTGCTTGGCGTGGCGAGAATGTTGCTCCACTTTCTCCGGTCCCCGAGATTCGGCTTCCAGTAGCTCTGGAGAGAGCTTTCGCACCTGTGGCCACTAACGGTCATCATTTCTCTGCTTTGTTTCAAGACCCGCATCAGAAAGCTTTTGAATGGTGATACTTTTCCAGTTGGTCTACCTGCTCTTCACGTAGCTCTGCATGTCGTCGTTTAGGTGCTTTTTTTCTGGAGATAGGCACTCCTCAATCCACTCCTCCATAGTAAGACCCCCCCGGAGGTCGAAGTTAACCTTAAATGTTTCCATCTTAAGCTTTGTTAGTTAGTTAGTTTCGTAACGGACGTAATGTAACAGTTGTAACGGTTGTAGCTTTTGTCAGACGCGGAGGGATACATGACTTGTGAAAAGTAACTACAATTCCACCCGTGATATACGCTCATTATATCTATGTATCTATATATGAAAGTACATTTTCCCTGCTTCTTACAGGTCAATGCAAAAACCTTCAATGATACTAACGACACCTTCTTGCTTTCTGTTCACAGATATTCAGAAGAGCTGACAAAGATGGTGAGTGAATTCATTAATTGTCTTTATTAAATAAAAAATGTTATACCTTGAACATTATCCATTACAGTTCTTTCTGGGATTTACTGTATAATGATATATATATATATTGATAGACAGATAATGTATTCTTATAGACACTATCATTTCAGGTTATAGATGACTTGCCTTATTAAAATTATTTAATTATTTAAAAGAAAACCGATCTAGAATGAAAAGACTTACTAAAAAATCAATAGATATTCTTTGTATACCATTGATTCCTGAGCCTTTTACCATGATTTTAATTGTAACAGATAAATACTAAAAACTAAACATAAACATTTTCTTATTAGAATTGATTTATTTCTCATGTCATTTCCGGCCTTGCTAGAATGACAGAAAAGCCTTGAATATATGTATTTGTATTATATGTCTGTCGTCTATTCTGATGGAAATTAAAATGCAAAATGACGTTTCCAAAAATGTTTTGGAGCTTTCATTTTGGTGCAATTTCAAAAATCCAGGCACATTCTGTCAGTAATGAGATTTGTAATGGCGGCATTCCAGTTTGGAATTGTGCGTATACTTGCTCACCGTTATTTCATACAGTTTGCATCTGTAGTTTTGCATCCAGGGGCAAACATGTACCAAAGGCGAATCTAACAAACAAACCTGTTCCTGAACTATCTTGGCCTCTTTGGGAATGTCTTCAGACAGATGATAGTCAGAGATGCGTTTCCTCTGCTTTGTGCAGCGGAACACTCTTCAGCATGAAGCTCTGTTGCAGTCTGAGCTGCTGCGGCAGTGTGCTGTATTTTTAGCATGTTGGGACATTAAAAGTGTTTTCAGAAGGGGAAAGTTTATATTGCTGTGTAGCTTTGCCAGTGAGCGGTTTGTTTATACCCTCTGGCATCTACGTACTGATACTCTCTCTCTATCTATCTCTTCATCTTCCTCTCTCTTCTTCCCTTACATCTCCTCCTCTATCTATCTTTCCTATTTCTTATCCTTCCCCTTCTCTCCTCTTTTATCCCATCACTCTGCCGTTGACTAAAAGGATTTAACTAATGAGGAAACAGCATAAAAAAGATGCGCTTTCATAGCAGCCAGATGGCCATTTGCTCTTCCAGTGTGTGTGTGTGTGTGTGTGTGTGTGTGTGTGTGTGTGTGTGTGTGTGTGTGTGTGTGTGTGTGTGTGTGTGTGTGTGTGTGTGTGTGTGTGTGTGTGTGTGTGTGTGTGTGTGTGTGTGTGTGTGGAAAAAAAAAATGATAACGTTGCACTCCAAAACTTTATGAAATCTACCAAACATGACAATTCTAAATGTAAATTAGTATTAAATAACATATATATTTAATATTTGTTTTAGTTCACTTCGAGAAGCTACTGAAAACTATGATTAACATTTTAGTTAACTTCATTCCACATATTGCAGTCAATATCTCAACCAAAATGGGCAAAGGTGCTACGCTTTCACATATAGAAAAGGCGAGGTGCGCTGGTTTATAACATGCAAAATAAAATGGGGCGCAGTAATCTCCATTATCTTGTTCTCAATCATTGAAATCCAAAATCGTAAATGAAAAAACGAATTGATTGATCACCCAGCTCTTGTTAGTACAGTCGCAGTGTGTGTGCGTGTGTGTTTGAGTGTGTGCAAATGTATAGGAAAAAAATCAATTTGTCAAATGAAGTAGAAGACTAGCAAACATACTGTACTGTAAACAATTTTTCCAGATGATTTAACTTTGACATCATTGCTGCATGGCATTTGTATCTTGCCTGGGGTTACTCTAAAAGATGATTGAGCCTTTACAGCGGGCTGTTGCATCAGCTGTCAACATTTTAAATGGTTGCACTTCCTAATTACCAAGAGCTCAGAAAAGGAAAGGTAGCGTCAACAACATTTACATTTCATGCCGATCTTATCCCATACAGAGAGCTCTCATCTTTTCACAACGAAGCTGTGTAACTTTGCGATGACGGTCTCTCCATTGCTGCTCAAAACAGAGAGTCTTCATAGAGGAAGATATAAGTGTGGATGGGTGAGGAGCATCACAGCAGGAGAAAGGAGAGACTGAGAGTTAGTAACAGAGATTGAAGAAGGAATGACAGATATCATGAAGAAACGTAGTCATTTGATGTATGGAACGCACGCTGCAGAGAAAGAGCCAGCGAACAGAAGCTGAAGAAGAGCTATTTTTATCCTCCTCCTCTCTCCTGGGAGAAGACCGGAGAACTGTTTTAATGAGCGAGAGAAGGGAGAATGGGGATGCTGAGGGGGAGAAGAGAGAATTGTTAAAAGAGAAGGTGCGGGGAGGGGGGAGATTGACAGAAAGAGAGGCGGGAGGTGGCAGAGTCTAAAAGGGGGAGAGGGTTAACAGAGAGAAAGACAAAGTGAGGAAAAACGGAGAGTGTCGTATATCTGACAGCGGGGCAGTAAATGATATTTAATTGGTCGAGTTCTGTCTTAACATTCATGGCACATATTTCAGGGAAGACCTTCCTGCTCCCGAGCTGCTGAAACAGCAAGCCAGAAAGAGTGTGAACATTAGTGTGTGAGCACATCTACTTCAAATACAAGTTGCATGCATCGCAGATAATTTTCTGTGTGCTCTAAGTGTATCAGTATGCCTGTTTGAATGTGTGTATGTGCGCATTCTGTGCGTGTTGTTTGCGATTATCACACCTGACTCAAAGACATTGTTTTTCAGCAATCACCAATCATTCTATGAAATAGTTGCATCATTTGACAGCACTTGGTTTACTGTTTGCACTTGCAGCAGCACCTCTAATATGACACAGTTCACTGAGCCGCTGCCGTTTGATACTTAATCCTTGCAAGTAAAATGGAAATGTTAGGAAATAGTAACTTGGGTTATTATTCTATTTGCATGTTTTTTATGTCACTGCAGACTAAATGAAATCAAGGTGTACTTGCATTTTAATTGTACTTCTAAAATGAAAAATGCTTTTTATCCTGACTCTTGGGCTGCAAAACGTAATTGTTTTTTCCTACAATTACTTTTGTTCCCCATTTACCTACTTTGGTCGTGAAAAATTGAATGCATAAACAAGTTTTACAGACATTTATCCCACCTATATATCTGCTGATTTGTATGTACCCACTACTCAGTGTACACTGAGAGTTTCTGCCTGTTTTACAGCTGTAATGTTGTATTGTCACTGCAGGAAAAAACTGTGTTACTAATAACATTGATGATGGCTCTGTTTTATTTAATCTGCCAAGTAAGACTGTCAACCAGCACGCAAAACAACCTCTGTTGAACTTGTGTATAATGATGCAGGGAATTATGCAAGGGCACCAAACTCTATGTAGTGTGGAATTAGGTGTCAGATCATGCAATATGGAAGTATAGGTTAATACTAACGTAAATGCTCGGCTGAGTTCAATTTAGCTTCTTGATTTTAAGGTTCCTGGTGCTGTCCTCTTTTATAGTCGTCACGTTTAATGTCAAATGTAGCACATTTTTAATATAATTTACAGAAGCAGAACATTAAAACATGCTGATTGATGCACGTTGATACATCAATCAATTATTGATTATTTCAAATGTATAACCTGTAGTGGCTTATATTTACTGTCCATCATTTTTGCGTGGAATTTCTGTTCTGTATACAATAATGTTGCGCCTTCAAAAATGTCAACATTAGAAAGTACCTCGTAGTGTCCGTGGCATGTAAAGCACGCTAATTTATACTAACTTTCCGAACCCTATTGGAAAGGATATAAGTCAAAAATCAACTGTCAGAGATAACTCACAATCAAATTGACTCCAGTGTCTAAAATTACGATGTACTGCTCACTATAGAGCAACATTACTACTATCTATTTGAAGTGAACGAGGAAACGGGGAGTGATTTTGTAAACCTCACACGAGAGGTTTAAATATGTAATAAATGTGGAAAAACCTGTGTGGGTCAGCAATGGTTGTGCAAGGTTTTTAAAGTCTGTCTCAAGGGAAGTTGTAGGATATAGAAGTTTATAAAATACTCTGCTATGATTAATGATCTGTTAACCCAGGTTTAACAACATGAAAAGACAAATATGTTGTGGACTGAAATCGGCAAATAGCAAACGTATCCCAATGCTAAGTTTAGTTTTTTTGTTAGCTTGTTAGCTTGTTAGCTTGTTAGCTCATTAGCTCGTTAGCTCGTTAGCTTGTACCTTGCAGTGGCTGTCACTGTTAGTCGTTGTGGAACATTTATTTATATCTAGCAGTATTTTTTGGTTGGATATGAAAGAAAGCACCAGAGTTTGGTTCAAATCCAACACCTGCACACTACTAAGTTTGCAAAACATTCTCTGTGCTATTGCTAACAGTTGCTCTCTGTAGTAACAAGTGAAGCTGGTAGTCTGTCAAAGACGTGTCCCTGTAGGTATTTGCGTGTTGCACAGGGATTGGTTGTTTTTGAATTTTAAGAACTGAGTTTTTTCCAATCCTGTGACTTTCACACCTGGTCTAATTAAAGCAGAACTTTGTGGATTTTTGAACTGGCTTTGTATCATTGCAATGTTGGTTGTATATGCAAATGAACAATTTGCGACTTTCTCCCAGGCGTTAGGAGCTCCCTGCTCATTTGCCGACAGAGGGAAGCCGAACATCATTGACACCCACATTGCAATGACTAAATGCCGGTTGAAAAGTAGCAACGCTTCCTTTTAATTGAAAAAAACTAAACATTTTCATGACACCATGTTAGAGAAACACTAACACAACCTAAAATGTTCTATCTGTGTTCTCATTGGTTAGTTGGTAGGTTTATTTATTTATTGTGCTTAGCGCCTTGTGACTCATCAGCCATCTGCTAATTATCGTCACAGTGTTTGACATAAAGACAGAAAGCAGACGGCGTTTAGGGAGGCTTGTTTATCTGTGCTGTCAAGACTAGACAGAATTACAACCTTAAAACCTCTAAGCAAATAGCAGGGTGCAGCTGCTTCGCTTCAGTGTGGCCAAACAGAGCGTATCACTGCTAAATTAATGAAAGTCATTTTCGT